GGGGATGGGAAGGGACAGAAGGGGATGGGAAGGGACAGAAGGGGATGAAGGGGAGTGGGTTGCCTCGATACCACCCGCTGCAGGGACAGGCGGGATGGAAGGGGATAGAATGGAATAGAAGAGGATGGGATGGAAATGGGCAAAATGGAATGGGGTAAGACAGGATAGAACCCTTTTCAGAACCCGTTTCAGTGGTGCCAGTGAGAGGAGGAGCAGCAATTGCCATAACCACAACAAGTTCCACCTCAACACGAGGAAGAACTTCCTATGGAGGGGGGCAGAGCACTGGAGTCTCCCTCCCTGGAGACATTCCAAACCCACCTGGATGTGCTCCTGTGTCACCTGCTTCGGGTGACCCTGCCTTGGACTGGATGAACTCCAGAGGTCCCTTCCAACCCCAACTACTCTGTGATCCTGTAATTTCTCTACCACTGACTCCAGGGGGCTTTGTTACAAGAGCAAGTTACAAGTACAGGAACAGGAAAGTAACTTCGGGGAGGAAAGTTTGACAGAAATAAACAAACAGTAAACAGTGACAAAGACAAGCCAGGATATGATCTAAGAACAAACCCACTGGAATCAGTGTTAGGGCAGTGCCAAACATAAGAGGCTTGAGCTACCTCCTGAACAGTGAAGCAGTGAGAAAATAAATAGTACTGTTGCTCCTTATTAAAGCTGGCAAAAATATAAACCCCACTAGTAACTAGCTGGATTTCCATAGTAAAAAAAATTAAATATATAAGATTTACAAGCCCAGTGTTGTGTTAACAGAAGACAATACAAAACATTTCAGCATCCACTAGGAAATGAGTAAAACACAGTATAATGCGTGCAGAAATGTACAGAGAGCACTTGCACTAGTATAAAAATATCCACAGTCCTCAGACAAATGTAAATCAGTACAAAATAATTCCAAGAACATGTTTACAAAAGGACATGTTAATATAAAACAGTAAAACCAGGTTCCCCTTGTCCCAGCCTCATGCACAGCACACACAGATCACCCACGGAAGGGCCACAGGTACCAGGAACGCTCATTCCCATCCCCTGACTTGCCATTTGACCTCCCAAGCCCACAGTGGCTGCAGAGACAGGCAACGTAGAGAAATAAAAACACAAAAACCAATGAGAAAAAACCCACCATCAGGGATTTTAGGGCTTGTTCTTTCCCAAGCTTCCTGATCCTTCAGGATTCAGCATCCCAGGGAAGCGGTGTGGGTAAGTGCAGGGTGGCCCTGGCAGTGGGTGGGCAGCAGCACAGTGATGCCCGTGCCCAGGGGGTGACAGAGGAGAGGGCAGGAGTGCAGGGAGAGCTCAGTTCCACACGTGAAATCCTTCAGCAAACAACCAAGCACCAAGATCCCACAGTCCCCACGGACACTGAGAGTCCAGAGCAAGGACAGCTTTGGAGAGCGAGGGGGGAAAGCAGGGCTGGGAAATGGAAGCCTGAGTTTGGGAGAAAGGGAGCTTTGCCAAGGTGATCTTTGCTTCAGGCCATGCATAAAACCCCCAGAAGGCTGTTCCCTCCCCGAGGCAGGTACTGTCAGTCTGGAATGTCCACAAAGTCCACTCTGCTCCTGCAGCATGTGCAAGTCCAGGACAAAAGCTGGTCCAGCCCTCAGCTCCCGTAATCCAGTGGCTTGTTCTGACTCATGAAGGCAAAGCTTGACATTTTTTGCCGTCAGTGCATGTTTATGTAACACCAGCACAAGAAACCAGACTCGAACTGCCCAGCTGAGCCTGCAGCACACATCACAGGAGTTGGGGAGCAGGAGAAGGGAGCAGAGCATCATTAAGGCCTCCAGGGTTTTGCTGACAGGACAAAGCCCGGGTGTTTCATCCCCACAGACCCGTCGTTTCAGTCCCACAACACCACCTTCACCTGGGCATGGGAGGTCAGGGGCCAGGTGTCCACGCACACAACATGCAGTACCCGTTGTTTGCAGAGAGGCTGGTTTATTTTTGGCAGCTCGAGTTGGCCTCCTCCCAGCTCTCACCGCCTTGCTGGTCACCCTCGGAGCTCGGCAGCCAGTACCAGGTTTCCATAGCAACAAGACTTGGAAGCTCCATTAATTCTCCCCGTGGTCTTCTTCCACCCAGGCCACAATTTTCCCCTCCCAGCCAGGAATGACGTCATCATCATGGAATACCTACCAAAAAACACCAAAAAAAACCAGGAGTCAGATCCCAGCTCAGATTTCCCTTCACAACCCAGAGATCACAGACGCAGCTGAGCTATAAGTCATCTTTCCAGATTTTAGGTAAAAAAAACCCAAAGAAACAAAAAAACAGACCAGGCCTCTTTAACCAGTAACTGTCAAATTATTATTAGCATTTTTTTTTAAGAAAAGGTAAACTAAAGATAGAAAATATGCCTTTTCTGATCCAGACTACAGTCTCCAGCTGCTGCTGCTGACTGTTCCCAGAAAGGGTGACCCTTTGCACTTATCTTAATCAATTTGTGAAGCAGGAACTACCCCAACAACCTTTAATGAATCCAACCCACACCAACACCAGCCTGAGCATGAATGGGGCTGCAATGCAGCACACAAAGGAAGAGGTGCCACAAACCCAATTCTCTCTGAAAAACCTTTAAAAACCGGTAGGAGAATGCACTTTTAATACAGGGTCTCCCGTTGCAAGAGGTTTTTATAAAGCCCCTGGAAGGGCCAGAAGTGTAGTTTGGGTTTTTGCCTCGTGTCCCCTGGGCAGTGCTGTGTCACAGACTGGCTGTGCCAGGAGTCACCTCTTTGCCCAAGGGGCTCTGCAACCCCCTGGCAGTTGCAATCACATTCGTGGAATGTGTTTTAGCACAAGAGGAGGTTAATCTACAGCTTCTTTGGGGGGAAACTTCTGCTATTCCATTAGTTTAAAAGTGAGGCGACCACAGTCCCCAGGGTCGTGTGGTGGCACCGAGCCCAAGGCAGCGATAGCTCAGTTCCACATTTACCTCCTCCTTGACTGTGCCAAACTCTGGATCCAGGGCTTTGAAGTGGTACCTGTGGGTTCCCTCACGATCAATAGCTGCCTTGAAATCCTTCAGGGTCACTTCCCCTAACCTGCAAGGGAAACCAAACCCATCAGCTTTGGGAGCGCGGCAGGGAACTGCCCCAGCCAGTGGCACGAAACCCAAAGGCCAAGGGGATGCACAGCAAACCTGTGCTGGCTGGGACAACTCCCAGGAAACCAAGAGAGGTGTTTTGAGGGGCACAGCAGTGCCAGCAGGGCCCACCTCACCTCTTTGGTATGCTGACCATGAAGGGGGTGAGGGAGCGGTCGGTGAAGTACAACACTTTGGTGCAGGCACTGGTGCTCATCACGGGGGTGCTGTGAGAGTGAGGCAGCTCTGCAAGGCATCAAGGGACTCGTTACCACCCAGGAAGAACATTCCCTGTCCCCTTCCCATCCCATTCTGGCCAGAATCTTTGCTCATTTGTGTTTCTCTCTCTGCCTTGTGCCCTGCTCCCTGCAAGGTCTGTAATACCTCTTTCAGCAACATTATATCAGTACCAAACACCAGATGTCACCTCAGTGCTGAAACATGTTGTATTCAGCACTTCTAATTATTTTCATTATGATTTCTGTTCAGCAAAACGACGAGGAATAAGGAGAAGCAGCACAGTGAGACTGAAACAGCACATGAAAACAGAAGAAAACAGAGCTGCTGTAGGAACAGAAACAGCAGGTGTATAGGTGAGGGTATAGAACACACTGACACAACATGAAAAACCAGGAATAAAAGTATAGCTAAAATAGCTTGGAAAGCATACCCTTACAGACTCAGATGTTTGAGAAACTACTGAGGAGAAAAAAAAAAAGATAACAGGAAAAAAAACTCTGGGAGATACAAAATCAGCTTGCAAATGAAGTCAAGCAGCTCAAGTACTCAACCCAACTCCATTTTCCTTAAAGTGACTTAGACCAAAAATTGGGAATCCCAAAAACAAACCAAGGGAACTATGGAAAGAACACAAATGGCAATGGTCTGGGCATTGTTTTACTGAAATGACTCTGAGGAAGAAAAAACACCCGACCCAACAACTTCCACGAGACAGAGCAGAATCTCCTGGGCTTATCTGAATATCCTAATGAATGTGATAAACAGCAAAATCAGGAATTGTTTCCTAATTGCCCAAGAGCTGAAGCAGTGGAAGGGTCACACTTAATGACAACAGTTTTAAGGCTCCCTGAATGCAGAAAACACCGTGGACACCTGTGGTGTCAGGAAGGACTGTGCTGTTATGCACACATGTAAACACTGGGGGGGAACAGGGAAAGAGGGAACTGTGCGGTTCTCTGTGCCCACCAGGTGGTGCAAAGCAGCAGGAAAGCTGGAATAACATCCCTGTTCCCACCCATCCCAGCCA